TAAATTATTTGACAAGGCTTCTATCCACCAGTTCGCAAGAGTTTCTTTTATTAAACACACTTAAGTGATGAATAGCAGACGGGGAAAACCCCATAGTCACGAGGACCTGCTGTGGTAACCTAAGCCTCGGACTTGGAGTAGCGAACCACATAAGGCCCCGATAGGTTGGGCGTGGTATTGAACCGGACGACCTACCACCAAAGTTGGGTGGCGCTGGCATGGTTCGAACTTCGGACCAAGGGGTCCAAAACTCAAGTTGATAACGACTAATCCACCGAGCTACCACCCAACAGGAGCCCGATAGATAACCTATAATCTCTAACACAGCTTCTTATCCAGCCGTATTGCAACCAGTTACCATTAGTTAAGCTTTTAGACTTCTAAAACTCACCAATTCAACATCTACCGTGATCTCTAATCGTCTCATGCCTAAATAGTTGAAATACAGAGCCCATTTGCCTACATAAATCATTAAATCACTAATTTTCTGAGGTTAGAGTTAGCCCCACTTCTCAGCGTTGATGTTGCCGTTGTTTTTCCGATTTCCAAGAACATTTCCACTGACGTGTTTCCGAAAGCTCGTAGTTTTCCTTCGAGGCCCCAGAATCTTTCTATTTTCTCCTCGTCTGAAAGAAAAAGGGTTTAAATACTACAATTGAATTCCCCTGGTGTGATCTTCACGTTGGAGTTTGGTCTTCTTACCTTTTCACCGCACACCCTAGTGATGTAACAGTTAGTGATAAGCGCTTCAAGTTTGATGGTAGAAAAGCTCTGTCTGGCGTTCCCCAATCCATCAGACTTCACTTTTTTTTTATCCTGAGCGTCAATGATATTCATGGCTACTTATTTCCTCTAGACCTCCGTCGTAGCGCATTTTCACTCTCTCAAGGTTACAATACCCTAAAGAACACGGGTTGTTAACTCCGCCCTGACTTTCATGACAGGAGTATCTGTGTGTCAACATAACTACCGATCTAAGTTCGTCTTTCCTCATTCAGAGTTGTATCGAATAGTTCAACGACTACTGTCCTTTCCGGTTCGTATATTCAAACAGCTTGGAGTTGAACAAACAGTTATTGATCCTTTTCATGCACCAGTGTGTCCAACCCAACTTACTTGAACACTGCCCCATTTTGAGCCTGGTTTGCTCCTTAAGGATGATTTCAAGACTCCACTGGGGGGAAGGGGTTGGCTGTCACAAGTAAGTGGCACTCTCATCCCCGTCGACACTCGCACCAACATGTACGATCACCACCACATGGAAACCAGTGAAACCAGTTCCAAGGGCATTCTCATTCAGACCGAATATTACAATTTTTCACTCATATCAATAAGCTCCCAATAGAGAAATGTATTTCCTCAAGCATAATAGTTTATCGTGAATACCCAGTATCGTCTGTAGCTGAAATTTTTAGCTTTATATGGCTTACAGTCATCTTACGATGAGTACAAATGTCCACGGGTGTGAACGGTTGTCCAACAAAGTTACACTACAACCAAGAA